AAAAACAACAGTGTAAAAGTGATGACAAAGACAGAGCTCTCTATAACTGCTTAGGATTTCTTGTAACTCGTTTTGCTGTTAGCAGAGATCCTGCTTCTTTAAGATGAGGAATGCACTGCAAAGCAGCAGGAAAGCAAGTATTCAGTAGCAGAACAACAAATGCTGTAACTGGAGTAACTGGGGAAGAGGACATTTTATTTTTTTTTCTTGCTACTTTGAATGTGACCTCTTACCTTTGTCCTGTTAACTCAAGTAGGAGATAAACTCTGGGCATGATTAAGGGCCAGAGCAAGCCCTTCCAGTATGAACATTTCTTGCAGCAGAAATGCTGTTCAGATGGACTCGAGCTGCTGTGCTCCTTCCCTGGGGACTTCCATGGTCCAGCAGCTGTGGAAGATTAACTGGAAGAAAAACTGATGGCATTTTCCACAGTGGTTATGCAGGTGCCCTGGGAGTCCCACACTTCAAGGAATTATCTGATTTATACCTCTTTAATTGCCCAAATGAACCACATGTGATCATCCAGCGTAACCTATTCAAGTTCCACTGAAATTACTGAATGTGTGCAAAAATAACTGCAGTACCACGCAGCCAAGCTGAGCCTTGCTGCATTGTAATTGCAGAACATAGCAGCAATTTCTGCTGGAGTAGCATAAAATAGGGTTGAGAAGAGTATGTGTTAGAAATACAGTCTCTGTGATACAAGTCCTGAGAAGGAAGGTGTCATTTCTGCACAGATATTTTCCAGAGTGGAACTACACTTGAAATTATACATTTTTTTAACTGTTGACAAAATCATGGCAGGGTCCGTGGTGGACATCTGTCCCATTTCCTTCCAGGTTGTGCTCCTGTAGAAATTGTGCTGCAGAGTGGTCTGTGGTCAGCAAATGCTACTTTCCACTGTGGCAGAAAACTGGACAAACTCTACATGAAAAATGAAGGTACTTCTCTAGTTCAATCTCTCTTCCACACTATGTGACTGAAGTGGAAGAGATGCTCTCCATTCCTCCTGGTTGTGTGGCTCTCTGAGCATACCGAACTTTTTCATAGGTAGTAAATTCATCAGCAAAATGACAGCAATGTAATCATGATTCCACCACAGACTGTGATTTTTCAAATCCAATTTAAACCTCAACATGGCAGAGGTCCTATTTATTATTCTGAAATGAGCATCATAATGTCATTTCATTCTTACATTTATTCATTATTCTTAAATCCATCTTTAAATACCTATTTGAAACCTTAGAGTGCTAATAGAAATAATATTTCACATGTATATCACAGACAGAATCACAGAACCATGGGTTTAGCAAAAATTTTTTGGTACTGTGCCTTGTTGGGTCTGTCTTACAACAGGCTGAGTGGTACCTTGTAATTAAGTTCCCCAGTGGTAGTGGTAGGGGGGAAGTTAGTGTACCTATTTCTAAAATGAGGCATCACTAGACCTGCTTTGGTTATATTTCAGTGGCATGTCTCTTTTTAAAAAGAGCAGGAGCAAAGTTGTGCCCACATGCACGTGTGCCAGACGCGTTGCCATGTTCCTCCACCTAACGTCGCACAGAAGCTTTAAACTCTCTCTGCAGCAGAACGACTAACATTAGGTTTGTGGATCAATACTACGGATACCAGCAATGTTCCAGATCAGCACTATTTTGACAGTAGAAATTAATGTTTCTCTTCTTGCAGTCAGGCCTATATTCTCATCTCAGTGCACAAGGGTTTAAAAGCCTAATATAAGACCTGCTGAAGTGAAAAGAAATAATTCCTTTTAATGTAATGTGTTCCAGATCAGTCCAGATATTTATTAACAATACTTACTGATGTCGTAGTGTTAGGCATCAGCTTTTGTACTTTCAGAATGAAAACAAACCCTAAATTACTGGTGAACGTTTCCAGTTCTTTGTGTAACTCTTAGAATGTGTTTCTATGTAATTCTAAGCATGGAAAGAGGACCAGACTGTCCACACATACCACACAATCCGATCAGCATTTGCATGAAGTCTTAGTTACTATCAGTCAAGCTAACATCCTTTGCTAAAAAGTAAGTCACACTGGTTTTGAGGTATTTCTAAATGCTAAATTCATTAAGTACAAGAAAAATACAGTGACAGGGAGTTTTTTATTTTTCTCTTCTGGTCTATGGTTACAAACTACAATGGCCAGAAAGAAAATGAATGCAACAAACTTCAAAACATTGGTTCATCTGAATGCAAAGTCATGTGGACTGCACTATACATTTAAGGGTCTGTGGGCAGTTACCTTTGGGAAAGTGAGTTCCTGACCATGATGCCACTTCATGCCCACCAGGCAAGTAGAAGATGGCAGCTGATGTACCTTGAGGCTTTTCAAAGGCAGGAGAATTTGCACTATAAGTCCTAGCAGCTTAACTGTGGCCTTCAAGATCTCCTTTCCTCACTAATGTGAACCTTAACTTCTGTTTCTTGTTTTTTCTTTAGTGTGCACTTTGCTCCATCTCTCTGAGAAGGATATTCCCTCTAGGCACCTTTTCATCTGCCATAGCTTAATGCAGACCAGATTTAGATATTCAAATTAGTACTGTTTAGGCTCTTTGAGTGACATTTTCAATTTAAAATAATTTATCCAGTTTTCACATAAACAGTAAATACACTTTTTGATACTGCCCATTCTAAAAGTGGGACCTTATACAAAAATCAGCAAGAAAACAGAGCCAGGCAGTTTTTTAAAATGAACCAAGAATTTCTAAGAATTAAGCACCTCCAGCAAAAAACATTTTGGCAAGCCATTGTGGCAGTGTCTGAGTAATAGTGCGTGGCAATAGATGAGGCTTTTGCTTTTTATGTTAAAACCACTACTTACTAATACTCATTTACCTTTGACAAGGAAATTGCTTCTTGCCTTATTGAAAAAGCCACCCAAATAATGTCACATCATTTTGCTCTTCTCACTGGCTGTCCCCTTGGTAATACATTACACTGGTGTCCATGCTCAGTCCCACATTTGGGACAGCAACAACCAGGTTGAGGAGAATGCAGGTAAAATCGTCCCAGTGCTGGGATTTTTCAGGTTTAGTTCAAAGCTCTGGAGAAAGCCACACCTGAGGTGAGCTCACTGACTGTGTGAGCCTGAGGAACGCAGCCTACCAACACCACTGCCCTGCCTCTTAGTTTATCACCATCTGCTTTGTGTGAGTTTCCAGCTTACATTCTGCCTCCTCCTCAGCCTGCATGATAGTGCTACCCCAACACCCTTTCTGTCTTTCTTTCCCAGTTAAGCCTGGACCTTTTTCTCACCCTCCTCCACACCTCTACCTAACACTCACTTGAGCCAACAAAGCACTACCCTGCTTTTTCATTCCCCTCTCTCCCTGGCAGGGACTCAGGACTGGCACTGTTTAATTGAAATGCCAGAAAGAGCTCTGGCTTAAAATAAATTGTCACAGGATCTTGTTTGTCTTGCTTCAACCATCTCGCCCAAGCCTGCTATGACAGTGTGGAGTGTGGCTCCTCTGGGCCACCAAGTATACAGCAGGCTAAAGCAGCAAGCACATGCCTAGAAGGTGTTAGATTGTAAATAAAACAGCGGCAGCAGACACCTCCTCTGAGTGTAGACAGCAGAAGCTTGTCTGTAACTCATTGAAGTCCTCCTCAGAGGCAAACTCTCTCCATTAGACTCCTGAAATCTGCTGTACTTCAGGGACTACAGCTCTGCAGCCAAGCTCAGAAAGTAGTCCGGCAGCGCATTCCCCTGTGGCAGAAATCTCCAGACTGGGCACAGCATGAAAAGCATTGACTGCCTGCCTGCCTTAAGATTTATTTCCCCACAGCATTCACTGTAGTTTGGCACCATTGGCATTCGTGCGTTCAGCCCTTGGGGCAGGCGAGAAGACAGCTGCGCCACCAATGCATGAAGTGGTTGGAAAAATGGTTTGAGAAAGCCAAGGGGGAGAGTCAGCATTCTGTTCCCCTGTTGATATAAACCATTTTTAGCCTGCTTGCTTTCATGGCCCTGAAACACTGCACCTTGCTGCTGTGACACTGGTGCTAGTGTAGGTAACAGGAGAGAGCAGGGCAGATGCTGGAAAATATCCACAAGCCTGAAATTAGGAGCATCAAATCTGTATGTGCAAAGGTAAAAAGCAGTGATGGAAAAAGGGTGGTCCACAAGAAGATCACTGTCATTTTGACTGTTCTCTAAGTTCCTGAGTAGCAACCTTCCCTTCACCATCATAACCACTTACCCAGCAAACTGAGGATGAAAAACGTAGGGGAAGATTTTTACTACTACTATCAAGTTTCCTCATACATGTGTTTTGTGAGTAGCTGTTTACAGGCACAGATATATACTGTCTGCTATAGCTTGCTGTGAGCAGGTTAGGTAGGTGTTGCATAGTCAGACTTTACATGACTGATATGAAGACTAGTCTGGGATTGACTCATTTTGTAAATTTTGCACCTGTGCAGATTTCTAAGTTTACAAGTTCTCTTAATTTGTGCATTTAAAGAGAGTTGGCAAACAATAACACAAGGTATATTAACCTGCAAAATATTTCAGTTATTGAAATTTTTGCACAATTCTCAAACATACTATCTTAGATTTGGGCTTTGACTGTCCTGTCAAATGACGACATGATGGCTTTCATGTACTGCAGTGAGAAATACATTTATTTCATACACAGGGTCATCATTATCTTTAAAAAGACAGCTAGCACTATCATTATTTCCACAGGGAAAGTACATTTCCCCCACAATTAATGTTCACATCTAACAAAACATTTTTATCCCCTTTAAAGTATTGCTGTGTATATCACTAGGTGCACACTCTAATCGAAGGAATTGATTTTCTTTCCAGGCTCAGAGTGATTACATGGCTGAGCACTAACTACAATTACTGATGACGTTGGTGAGAGCTGTGTGCATAGCATTCACTGGTGAAAACGAGACATCCCCTCCTGGCACCCCTCTCCCCTCCCTGTCTCCTGACACTGTAATTGCCAGTATTCCTGAGTGTGAAGCAGGGGATTAGCTGCGCTTCACGAACTCCGGCAGCTCCATTCCTGTGCGCAGGGTGAGCACTCCAGCTTTCTCCAGGGCAAAGGTCGGGTGGACGGCATCAGTGAATGTGTGCCTGGTGGAGAACAGCATGAGTCCTCTCTCTGCATTAAAGAACAACAACCTGCCGTCACTGTAATCCAACAGGATGCCAATCCTGGCTGGGTGTTCTGTCACATGGACATCACTCATCACACCGGTGTGAAGAAACCTGTAAAGAAAGCTGCGGGAAAATGGAAACCAGAACACAGTGAGCCTCCTCACAGTGATTTACCAGAAATAACCTTTGGCTTAATTCCCACCTATTGGCAGGGGGTCGTGTATAGCAGCACATCACGTGGCAACAGCATTTTGCTCAGTACCTAAGCAAAGCGAATATGGTAGCACTTCAAAGCCCTGCCTGGCATGATGATAGGCCCTTTCACTTGCAATTCTGGACTCTCAGGCTAAAAGCAGATTTGCTGTAATCATATTTATCTGTATGCTTCTTGTTACATGTTTTTGTGGGGATTTAAGCAGGAGCTGCGCATCGGCAAAACGCTTTGCACCTCAGATGTTTCATTTAGTTAGTTATGTTCATGCATTTATATGATCTCACACTAAAAAGGCACACTTGTTTAGACCAGAAGCACCTTGGTGGTTTTACAAACCTCCAAGCAGCCTGGCACTGGCCCACTGAAGACTAGCCCAGCACCCTGCAGTCCTGCCACTGTGGCAGGTGAGTGCCAATCACTGTGAAGGACAAGGCAGGAGAAGGCATTCACTATGAAGGTTTGACATCTGCAGATGGAAATAAATTCTAAAGCCACTGCATTTATGGAACTAAACACACGTGCTGGGATTTTGTGAAGCAGTTTAGAATATGAGCCTGGAATGACAAAGCAGTAGCAAATTAGTTTTTTAAGTTTTATTCACTGGCTGTGTGAAGGGCAGTAAACTGGTCTGTTTGAGGTTAATTTTATTTTTTAACATGCTTTGTAAGATTTTTTTAATTAAGAGGAAGCCTAAAGCTCCTTTGTAGCTGTCCTTTTCTCAAATATGCAGAAAGAAAGCAGACAGATCCTTTCTGCTCTTGTGATTCTTAAAGCTGGCCAGCTTTATTCACATGAAGTTCAAGTAACTTCCCAAGCAACCAGACTGTCTCAGCTCTACCTGGTTTGTGTAGGACAGCACCGCATGCACCAGGAAGTATCACCCAGCCCCAGGATGCTGCTCCGTGGTATTGTCTCATAGCAAATCCCAATCCTGTAGCTTCTGCAGGCAGAGACAACAATTTCCCAGTAGTGACGTCCACGAGCAGGCAGCAGTTCACCCAGGACTGAAGGAAACCTGTTTGTAGAAGAGGAGGACAGTAAATTGAGTGTGGTGGTAGATCATATATTCTGATATTTCTTACAGTCACATTATGCAGCAGCATCTAAAACCACTAATGTATCACACTCTGTTCTACTAACTGCAGGACTTTATCAAAGATTTGAATGTGGTCACTGACAGTCATTTCATCTTTGCACTGATATGGACTCATCTTAAGGAGTGAAAATGATACAACTTTACCCAAAATTACATGAAGCTAGCAAAAGGCTGGGAAAGGTGACTTTGGAGGCAAAAAATGGTACCTCAAGTTTTGAAGGCTTCTTCCAACTAGAAAGTACGTCTCTTTTAAGTAGACACAGTGACAAACATTTTGTGTCCATTCAGCTGTAATAGTAAAAAAGGTGCTTAAACCAGTAATACCTCATTACCTTTTAAGAAGCCACATCAGTATGTCACAACTTACAGAAGTTGACCTGTCCTTGTGATGGGACTGATACTAGTATGTAAAAAAGCCATCGTCTTTGCAATGGATGGATCTAGCCTGGTAGAACCATTCTAAACATATCCCAGAAGCATTTCCAAGTTCTCCAAAGCCACAGGTGCTTTGGAAAACATTACCAATAATGCCCTCAGTAGAGAAGAAAACTATGGAAGACTGATTATTTCTAGCCACGATACATTACTAAATAAGCCCACAAATCTGGCCTTCTTGGAGTAGCTACAAATTGCTCTGAGACTGAAGTACTCTGAAGGATTAAGCAGTGGCCAAGGACTGGGGTAAACCCAGCAGTCCCAGAAGGTGCCACGGCCTTCGACTTTCTGAGGGTTCCTCAGTGCAACACTGAACTCTTCCCAGTACCTACATCAATGCTGCTACTGGCTTTATTGAGACATTTCAGTGCTTGAAATTACAATTTCAATTACACAAAGTCCAGGGGCTGCATGACTAAACCTATTCAGTTCTTCTACAAAATTAGTCAGTGCTACGTGAAAGCTACCTATAGGAAAAATTAAGAGCTAGGGCTTCATCCTGTGCTTGTCATGCTGCTACTCACCCAGTGAATTTGCTTTTCTCAGGAAGGCGGATCACTGTTGCATTGGAGGAGACTTGCAAAGCGGGATGGGCTGTGTCGCTCAGCAGACGAAATCGAGTTCCTGGTATAATTCAAGACAAAGAAACACCAGTTCTGAGAGGCTTGCAGTGTTAACACAAGATGAATCATAAAATGTTAAGCAGAAATTACTGTCATTTTAGCTGGACAGAGCTGTGTCTGCTGGCAGGTCAGAAAGACAGAAAACTGTGTGTGAATGCAAGGAGTCTTCCAAGCTGTCACCAATTGGGACAGCAGTCTAATACTCAGAAAGGTAGCTAGGTAATAAAGAAATCTTTGGTATTTGAGAATGTTGAATAATTTTCAATTGATTGCTTTTTCAAAATAGCAAATTTGAGACTGATTTGAAAGATCCATACATGATTTAACACTATTTATCTGGAAATATTAAAGTTTAAATAATCCATTACATTTTAAAACTGCTCTATATGCTTCCTCATCTCTGAAACCTAAAGTCCACAAGGTTTTATTGTGAGGGGTTTTTTTAAGGTCATGGCATCTTTTATCAGAATGTGCTCTGCCAGACTCAAACAAACTGAGGTCCCTGAAGAATATTTAATAATTTCATATCTCATCAAATTAGAATGAAAAAAAAGAAATGTTTTTGTTTCTGAGGTCACATCAGTTTCACACTAACATAAATATACAAAGTTCAAGTGAAATAGTCCCTGATTCTGCTAATTTTCAACAGATAAAACACATTCCCTTTTGTCTCAATAACTTGCTCAGTTCCATATTGGAAAGTCCAGGTATGATTTCCAGAGGAAAATGCCATCTTTGGCTGCTCTGCCCCTCCATCCCATTGTTTTGACATCAGAAAATGGTGATCTACCTTTAGTTGAGATGAGAGCTGCTTCACTTTGTTCACTTGTCCCAAATGGGTTGACAGCCCTCAAGTAGAAGAAATAGTTCACATTGGGTTCCAGGGATACTTTCAGTTCAGGTCTCTTTATACCAGCAAAAGATCTGCAAATTTTGAAGATTTTCACACATGAAAATGTATGCAGATATCCAAACCAGGAAAGACTAATTTATGCAAACAGCTAAGCCACGTAACAGTGTTACTGATTAGTGAAACAACAGAAACCATAGAGAAAATCCAAATCAGAAAGACGAACGCTGTCTTCACAACTAGCTTATGTAGGAGCTTCAGCATTTTACTTGAGGGATCCTCCTTACTTTGACAGATTTTCAGGTCTGTGTGCCTGTACCACCTTCTCACTCCATGCAGTCATTTGGTGTAATGCTCACTTCACGTTCATTTTGCAGCATAAGTCATCACATAAAATGCAAGCAGCACAGAATCAAATTCTCATCTGCCTCCCATGAAAATTCTGCTTTACAAAACGAACAAGTTTCTGAAGAAAAAAACAAACACTCTTTTAATTAACTCAGTTGCCTGAAACTGAATGCACTTGTGTTCATACTGTCTGTGCACTTTCTCCAGATCTGAAAGAATGGATACCCTTATCTGAGGCCACACAAAAACCATGCACTTCTTATTATGAACTCCTTGCTCACAAATTGTTCATCAACAAAGCCTTGACTCTGTCTCCCTCACAGTGCCGTGCACACGAACAGGCTGGTTCTGCAAGAGGCAGCAGCAGGGGAAATGCCTTTGCACAGAGTCCTGCTTTGACTATGTCTCCCCTTTGTGGTGCCTCAAAAGCTCCAGCCCTCACATCCCCACCCGCTGATGTCTTGACACAGTGCTGGAAAGCAAGAGTCAGCACCCACTCAATCTGCTCTACAGGCACTTTGAAGTGACAGTGAAAGTACTTCAGATAGCTAGGAAGATGCCTATTTTATTTTCTACATTGTCAGAAGTACGAAAGATTGTCTCAACAAATTCTCATACACTGGATCTTGATTTTCCTCATTTTTGCCTCAGATGATAACGGCAAAACCAACAGTATATACCCACTGCATTGTATGCCTGCAGGTAAAGGCTGTTTATCTGTATAACGTAGATTATTTTCTCCCAGAAATGCTCACAGGAATCTTCAAGGTAAGTATTTAAATTCATGAACAGGAGACGTGCCTTTGGAGAGCATGCAAGGCACTTTCCCTTCCACCTCAGGTTTGAGAGCAGAGCCCAGGATGGTCTCCATATTGCAGATAATGTCTCTATGGGAAGCTAGATTAAACAAATTACCTTTTCCAGCACTAATTACTGTGACCCCAGAGGAGGTACGGCAGACAAGTCAGCGGTCAGATCAGATCGTTGCTATTCATTCGTAGTGACTGCTTTTCCACATATGTCCCACCAGAGAGCAGTACAATCTGAAGAATAATCAGTGCTCATCCATCAGGATTTTTCACATGCCTGCCTCTGCTGTATTTATCACAAAATGGTAAAATCCCAAAGCCCTACATACAGCAAATTCCTGCTAACACAACATAAATCTTGGTGACTAGAAGGATGGCATCCCAGGGAAAAACTGGTGCATCATCCTTACTAGTCTGTAACAGGTATTTTGTACTGGCAGCTGTTGTTAAAAGTGACTGAAACCATTAAGAAAAAGGACTGGGTGCTCCTGTGATCTGCTTCTTCAATTTAACAGAATTTCAGAGAGTTTGGGGCTCTTGCATGATCAGCGCAGGGCCATGCTGCCTTTGGGGAATGTGTTACATTGATGCTGGAACTGACACAGTAAACAGAAGCACGTTGCCAAAACCTGGTAGCAATTGCAGGGCTTGCTTCACCTCCAGGAGTAACCAAAGCCCCAACCATGAGAGCACTTCAGCAAGACACTGGGAGTTTGGCAGCCTGGTCAGTTCTTACTAAAAGGTTTGGGGAAGAGGTGCAACCTGATGAGTTGCCTGGTGAGAACCTGAGATCTTTAGACGTGAAAGGGGAAAAAAGTCTTGGCTAAATATAAAGGACAAGAGCAAAAAGGTAAGGTAAGACAAAGAAAAATACAAGATGGGAACTGAGCAACGAAGCAAATAAAAAAGGAGTGAAAGGAAAAATGGGGTAGAAGCAGTGGCAGGGGAAAAGTAGTGGAAACTTAAGCTTTGAAGAGATTTGTCCATGCTTCCTAGGCAAGTCTCACCCAAACTGTTCCTTAAAAGCACCATTGTGACATCTTTGATGTGAATCTAAAGCACAGATCGCCAGAAAGTTTTGAGCAAATAGTTACAAGTGAGATGAAGGGAGGATACACTAAGTTATTTGTCAGAAGCTGTTTGTGGCAACATGTAGATCAACATATCTTAAGCACAGTGAAGTGCCTTATATGGCTCCTGCTTCAGTCTTTGGAAAATGCCATGTAAGTGAGTACCCTTTCAAAGAAATTAGGAGGTGATATTTTTTTGCTATGTGCTGTTTAACTGATGTTTAGTTAGTCAAATACAAAATTGTTTCTAAATCCAAGTAGACAGGTGCATTCTGGTGTAAAAAGTAGACCTGGGGTAATAATATTCTGGAGTCTGCATCCCAAAGCCTGGATATTCAGAGAAGATTTTGGGTCCTGTCAACTGCAGAATAGGGTCAGACATCAAAGTTCAGACTTCAGTCTCCTTCAGATCTGAAATTCTCCAAATCAGAATTTGGTTACATGTTTAAATATGAGAGCAATAGCATGCCTATTTTCAGTTGTAATAACGAGACAGAAAAGTCTGGACTTTAAGCAGATCTGGTCAGTAAAAGAGTGATCAGATATTCGAATAGCATTCTCTGCTTAGTAATCTATTTTAGCCAGCTTTAAGCTGTCTAAGAATAAGAAGCCATCAATTTTAGCTAAGATTAAGGCGTAAAACCTAGTCCTGTTGCTGCCAACTAATGAAACAGAATATGCCAACAAGAAGGAATTTCATCTGCAACTCTCTGAGACAAGTTCAAGTTCAAACAAACTGTGTGCAAGGCAGAAACAGGTCTTGCTATTGTCTCTCCTTCTGTCTAGAGATTAGGGTGAAGTGGGAAAGCAAATACTGAATGCTCCCCAGCAATCACTGTAGCTTCTCATGCTTCAGGTTGACCCTGCAATCAGTGATAAAAAGCAAGGATGAGGAATAGGTATGATTACTGCTTAGCTTATAGCATACAGATCATGAGTGGAAGAAGGGAAGGGAAAACACATCCTGACTCTGCTGGGGGAAGCTAGTTTCATTTCCAAGTTCTTGCAACAAGCATTGAATCTAGATCTTCCTCAAGCTCACCTTAAGTATTGAACCATGTAATTTTGGTCATGAAAGAAAGAGAAATCCACCTACAACCTTTTTAATGTCAGCTATTTTCTACTTTAAATACACCTGCACACTTTATAGATGATTGGAAATGTAATAATATTATTATCAAAGCATGAGTCACCCTGGCCTTTAGCCTAAATGTTATCATATTTGCACTGTCCCCACAGTATCTTGTTATTATGATACAAAATTCAGTGCATACAAACTCAAGAAACATTTGAAGGTAAGTATTTTAAATATCTCCTCTTAATCTCTCTCTCTATAAGAGGAATATTTAAGTCTCAAAATCCAGTCTCCAAATTTCAGATACATGCTATTCAAAGCAGAACAGAAAGGAGCTACTTCTTCACCTTTAAATTGCCAAGAATATTATAGTAGCAGTTGTCTGTTAAATTTGTTATTTCCTTGGTTTTAAGGAAATCTGATGCTGTGTTCTGATGCATGTTTCTCTCATCAGTATCTTAATTCACTTCAAGGAAACAAAATCTAGAGAATATTTTTTAATATTGCATGAACCCAGCAAATGATACACCTCACAGTGATTCAGAACGCCCTCTGTGCATAATTGTCATTTCCATCCCCAAGATCCCACTGTTCCCACCTCCAGACCTGTGTTGGTACTGCTGATGTGGAGTTACAGCTGAAAGTATGCAAGCTTCTCAAGATAACATGTAGAAGCACACAGAAGGGGTGCACCATGAGCAGAAAAAAGCTCTTGAAGCTAAAAACAAGGAACAAATAGCTCTGAGGTGTTCCCAGCTGTGCTGCATGCTTCCTTTCCCCTCCTCTGTCCCAGCTCTGGCTGTTCTGGGGTTAGATCACCAAAGCACCACCTGCAATGGTCCTTGCAGCTATCTGAGATTGCAAGCCCAGCACAGTCAGTGAGGAGGAAGATTCCCTATTTTCCACACCTTGTTTCCTGAGCTGGCAGAACAGCCATGTAGGCCATGCAACAGGAGGGAGGCTGTCTCTCCTTTTCCCAGCATTAGGCCCGCTCTATAACTAGACGGAAAATTTTGGTCACTAGCAGTGCCAGTCTGACATTGGCAGAGAGGTTGAGACTCACTCACTTCCACTTCTATGAACTCACTGCATACTGTACTAACTTCTTCCTCCCTGAGTCTTACAGATTTCTCATGATGTGATACATGGTTTTCATCTGAACAGCCCACACACCTAATCCCTGGACTACATTTCTCACAGCTTTCCATCTTCCACCCACAGCTCCATTGACTTCTCAACACAAAGAGGCTGAATGTCGAGAAAATAGCAGAGCTCTGGAAACTGAAAGAAACATTTCAGACTTATAAAGATTCTGCAAAAATAATCAAGCCAGGAAGGAGCTTTAAAAACCACAGAAGCAGGCCATGGACTCATTGTTGCAGAAGATTTAGGATGATTTCATATGAAACCATGTCCCTCAGGTGGCAAGATGGCAAGGAGAGAGACCTCAGAGGGGAAAATATAGGTTTGGTTTTTTTATGGTATTCAGAAGGAAACTTTTAATGAGCTTTTGGGGTTGGGTTTTTTTTTTCCAGATTTGCTTCAAATTCCCTTCCCAGGGAGCTGGGACTGCTCCACAGACTCCTTGGAGATATTCAAAAGCTGCCTGGGCAACTGGCTCTAGGTGGCCCTGGCAGAGCAGGGGTGTTGGACCAGACGACTTCCAAAGGTTCCTTCCAACATCAACCATCCTGTGATTCTGTGAGATGCTGAAGGCTACAAGGCCTGGACCAGGGGCTCCACATTTGTCTCTGGCTCTTCAGTGGAGGCATTTCTCTTTGCCTTCTCCCTTGGTGGTGTTCCTTGCTTTGGGTGAGTTCCCATAATGACATCTGTGTAAACAGCTGTGCGGAATGGGACCATGCTGCTTTCTCCAGGACTTCCCTCACATGCCTTCATGCTGTGTCTCCAGCAGCAGCTCTATGAACTTTCCAGAGCTGCTGAGAAATGTGCTTGAACTTCCACCCAGGGACCAGAGAGTCACCCAGCTACAAGGCCACCACAAGTGGGAGAGGCCCAGGCTGTCTATCAAAGGGCTCCACATTTGGCTGGTTCCCAGGATGAGTGTTGCTCAGGAAATCTGTGAAGGACAAACTCCAAGCTTTCAAAGAAAGCAAGCAGTAGAAGTTACAGCATTTCCAGGTCCAAACGCTAGATGTGCATAAAGACACAGTTTTATTCCATCTGATATAGCTACCTGACACAGGAACTCTAAGCTCCCTACGGGTACTTCCAGAATGCACTTTCTCACTATATCAGCTACATAAGGAATTGATTTTTAGTCCTAACTTGCACCTTAAGGGCCTTGGATAGGTGCAATACAGGCAGTATGGTCCGTCTACCAGTGGGCTCTTTTTTTCTTGGCTTTATGCAAAAAATTAAACAGGAATCTTTAAATTAGGTATCTCCATCACTGAAACATCTCTTGCCATTACAAAACCTTTCCAGGTCAATCTCAGAGGGTTGTTTTTGGAAAAGGAAGGAGGCACATTGCTTTGCAGGAAAGTAATTGGTAAAAGATGATCTTTCACACTGTAAAAAGAGGCCAGAGAAACAAATACAGAAAATCAAACTACAAAAATTTGTCATAGTAAAAGGCCAGCTTCTGCCCACAGGAAGGCAAAAAAGTCAAATGTGGCCCAGTATAATTATAAACACATTCTCAAGGTCACTTGAGAAAGCAAATGGGTCAGTTCTGGCAGGCTTTTGCTACAGTTATTACCACACATGAAAGCTTCTCGGTATTATCGACATCTCACTCACAGATTACAGAAACTGGCACACTTTCCAGTTCAGCTTTGAGAAAAACAGCCAATTCTAGTTAACAGTAAAGAAACTTGAGGGCAAACACACAGAACAGGTTTTGGAAGCAGCTACATTATCACTGACCAACAGTGACTTTGGCAGGTTGACAGGGTCCTGGTGACCTCATGAAATATGTATGAAACCGAGCAGGTCATGGCTGTCTTCTGAAAGGCAGGACAGCTGGACAGGACCTCTCCTTGATTGAATTGATGCAGCACACTGGTACTCCATGGAAAAAAGGTTTCCCAACCCCACAGAAGTTTTTTATTTCCATTTTTATCCTACTTTTGTAAGGAGCAAGGAGCACACAATTTCACTGTCATACTTGTCTGCAAAACCTGTGAACCCTCTAGTCCACTTAAATAATTTTGACTGCACAGGCTGGAGGTCCTCCCTCTCTGCCACACCTCCATGAAGTCCATGTCAACCAGTCCCCTACTAAGACACTACTCAGGCTCCCTAGATGATGAAGACAAACTCAGCTGGGCTGAGGCTGTTCCACAGGGTCCCATATGGCAACTCATACTCAGCCTCTCAAAGCTTCTCAGACCTTTGCAACCGTATCTTTCTGGAATATTGTTGTCATTTTTTTAAAAAAAACAAACAAAAAAAACCTCCAAGGACATACAGAGCTTCACACAATTTTCAATGCATTTCAACACAGTGCATGGTTTCACAGCTCAGTGGTGCCTATGTCCCTCCTCACCCTCTCCTCTACACAGCACAGACTTATTCTAGGGGAAACCAGAGAGGGTCTGGCATAAGCAGACACCATCCCCAGTTTCAAAGCTGCTCTTTGGGTTGCTCTCTGACCTCTGTGGCATGCCTGCACAGCTGGGCAGCATTGAGCTCAGCTGTGCTTTGGAAGGGGCCTGACCATGCATCCAGATGGGTCACCAATATTACCAGGACATCTGTATCACCTTCACTGTGCCCCAAGCCAGCTCCTATCTTGTTCATCACAAAGCAAAGAACAAACTGGGCCAGGCTCCTCCATCCCTCTCCTTCCCATGCAGCCCACCTGCCCTCCCCTGTCCTGCCTAGGGCCGTGGCAGCTGTGTGGTAGCGATTGCTTCCCTGACCAGCACAGCTCTGCAATGTCTGGTTGACTACCATCAGCACAATGGCTCCAGGGTTTTGGCCCCAGATGTAATGGATTGCCTAGTTAAGCAGAATAAAAAAGAAGCATTTTTATGTCTCAGCCTAATCTCATAGACTAGTGTCCGTCCTGTAAATTCCTCAGCATGTAGAAGCAGATTTCTTCCTCACACAGAATAAACTCTTGCATAACAACCTACGATCTGGGAGATGCTCATTAGCAGCTGCCTAATCCGCCTGAGCGGCACTTGTGACTGCAGCACTGACCTGAGACCCTCTCCTTCGGGTGAGTGCTGTCGGCAGTACTCCAGGGTGAAGGACTCCGCCGATGCCAAGCTGGTGTGCCAGCGGACGGTGGCCGTGTCCCAGCACACCGTGCAGTCCTCGGCCTTGATGGTGGGGATGGCAGGTGCTGGGGACACAGGGACACGTTAGCTGTACTGCGAGGAGGGTGCTAGTGGCTGCTCTTTGTGTATCAGTGGCAGAGGGCTACATCACAGGGAAAAAATACCACCCTTGGAAAGTCACTGGGAATATTTGTGCATTTCACATCCTTAGAACACCCATGTGGATTTTTGTGCCTTTCCTGAAGCACATTTTCCTCATTTCTGCCAGTCTTCAAGGAGCAGAGCACCAAGGCAGTACTGCTTACAGTTCTCCCTCCATCGCCTCAATCCTGTCCTCAGCAGTCCCTGCATGAACTGCATCAGAAACAGATATGCTGCTGCAGAACTGACAGGGAGATGCTGACTTTCTGCTTAATTATGTCCTGTTTATTTTTGCAATGCTAAAATTTGGTCCTGTAATTTCTTTTTTAGAGCTTCAGCTTAAGAACTACAGGCCCAACTGCAAGAAGGAAAATGGGATGTAAAATACTGCACTGAATGCATGTAATCAAAAGCTATTGTGGGAAATTGCACATCCAACATTGTAGGCTGAAAATGGATTAGTGGTATTCACTTGCTTTTTCCCTTTTCAGCGAATAGCAACATAAACAAACCTTACAACATGTTGTTGAAACTCATATAGACAGTCTTTCCTTAAAAGAAAGGTTATTAATTAAAAAAAGTCATAGAAAGTTATTTTCCTTTTAAAAGGATCGGGTTCCAAATAGGAGGCCTAACACAAAAGTATAAATTAGACAACTTTATGACAATACAATCTTATAGAACTGCAACAGCATTCCAGATGCATTCTGTTTCATAAGAAAAATAATTTCTTATTAGTAGAAATGGAAAGAAAAACAAGTACATATCAATTTTGTGGTTTAGTGAAAATTAGTTAGCCATTCAGGTGAAGATGTACTTGATGTTTTTTCTACAGGAACAGCTAATCTATTATTCAGCAGAACAATGAATCTGTGGGATAGATTCTTAGCTGGTAATGCAACTGTGTAGGTCCCTTAGCAATAAGCCCTTAATTGTCTTCTGACATATTTGATTGTCTGTTTGTAAATGCATCTGTTTCTAAAGAATGAAAACTTAATAGCTAAATCCCCTAGCACCTGCATTCAGCAACTGGCACACATATCCCCATTTATGCATATGTACAAACAGTATGTCACAAGACATCAAACTTTTTTAAAATTCTAAACTGTCTAAAGAATAGATGGAGTCAACGTATCAGAAGAAGTTGTCGTGCTTCAGAGATTTTTTTCAACAAATTACTGCAGATAGAATATATATCCAATTTCCTTGTAATATTCCAGCACTCATATAACTGATCTTATAATAGACAAAGAACCAAAAAGAGTAAGTTCTTACACTGTCCCTCAGATACAGGGTGCGAATCACATAGGTTTTGAACAACAGAAGAAGCTCCTGTCACTCCTATGTCTCTAGGACTGCAAAGAGCCTTCATGTGGAGAACAGTTTGATATGGACAGGGACAAGTGGGGGTGGAGGGATACTTGGAGCCTTCAGCATCATTCCCTCACAGGTGCTCCCCAGGGGAGGAGAGGACAGGCTGTGAGCTTGTGAGGTGGAGGAGAAGGAGACAGGAGGGGCTGGGGGGATGCTGCAGTAGCATCTGCCTGCATTCCCCAAAACTCCCCAGACCCACTGCCACAGGTGCCATCCCAACAGGGAAATCTTGTGGAGGTTCCCAACACCTGGAAAAGGGACAGCTTTGCTCCACTATTAATGTGTATATTCCAACAACTGCATATACGAGCAAATTATTTTCTTGTATGTGTCAATCTGAATTACTAAACTTTCTAAATTACTGCTTCTGAGTTCATTGGGCTACTTGAAGAATCAAAGTATTGTAGCTTTACATCAAAGTAGCTGGGCTCACACTAAAGAACTGGCTTCCATTACCAGTGCTCATCTTTCCACCTCTGGTGTTAAGGGGATGCAACAGTTTTGCATCAGTCAGTGCCCTGCAGTGTCCCCAAAAGTACCTCTGGGGCTCAGTGCATTCCAGAAGGAGTTCACCTCGGCTTGAGGGAAGGTGTTTAATGAGATATGTTTGATTTATTTTATTTGTATTCTTAAAGAAACAGGCCAAATGAAGGCATCAAAGACTCAAATAAATTAGCTTCTTCAGAATTATTCCATTTTGAGTAAAAGAAAGGCAAAGATCATTCTTAAAAATAACAACTTCAGAGAGGTGAGAACCCCTTTTAAAATTATGATTTATTAGCTAGTAATAGCTAATCTTTATTTGACCACTTCATAGGAATTCTGCACCATGCTCACCATTACATTGTTCAGGCCATAAAATTTGATTTTCTACATGCAATTATCTGGAAAATAATCTTTGCTAAAAATATGAATAGTAAATGGAATATCAAGGAAAATTATCAACACATTTGAAGTCTTGCGCACTACGCAAAAGGCTTGAAGCTGTGGTTGCTGCAAAGTGATTTCAACAATAGGCCCAGTGTTGTACAGTTATTTCATTATAAAATTGTTAAATACCCTTGTCTGTATTCTGTGACTGCAAGAATGGAATGATTTTTTTTGTCCTGTAGCACAGGACAGACTTTTTTTTTTTTTTGCTTGGCAAGAGGGCTTCACACACACGATGGTTCACCTTGCTCATAATTCAAGAAGCAACAGTTCTGTCAATACAAATGATTAAAGAAATTAAAGTTCAGAAAAATTAATCAGTCAAATGAAGCCCATAAACAATACTCAGGTAATTACTTATCTCAATTTATGCCACTGAAACAGCAGCAGAGCCTCTCAGCCACACCTGAGATTGTGTCCCACTGAGCTAGTTATAGCATGTAACTGTGGTGAACCAGGCCTTCTCTTGAAAAGTTAATAATTCAAATCAATGCAACATAGATGTATTTGTGAGGATGGCAGAGAGGCACAAAATGCAGCTGTAACCTTCATTTTCCACAGGAGAAGCAGCAGCAGGGAGCAGCCAGGTGGCTTTCCCAGAGTTTCCCTGCAGCACTGCAGTGAGCTCAGAAAAGGAATTCATAATGTGCTGCCTCAGTGCCCCAGTCACAATGCCCAAGACTGGAAACATCTTCAAATCTGAATGCCTTCAAGTTTCCCCCCAGGAGCAATTATGCTGCAACCTCTTAGCAAAAATGGGAAATGACTGTGAGTTGCCTGCTATCTGCCAGATGGGCCAAATCAAACAGTTTCTTCTGTTTGAGTAACACTATGGACTAGGATTGGTCTAAGGATCTGAAGCTTATAATAATAAAATAATGCCAAAATAATAATAAAATGCAAAAAGTTCTACATACCTGTTTTAAAAATGGCTTTTTCACTGGGTAAGCTACAGCCTGTGCCATTCACAGCCATGACCCACACACTGTAGCAGCGATCTGGCTCCAGGTCCTCCAAAATGCAGTGGCTCTCCTTCACCGTCACTCTGTACTCTTCCACCAAAGCTAGGAGGAACACATGCACAGGACGTCAGACTCATGTGTTGCACTGGTAGGGCCTATGATTGCACCTCTCAGCTAACATGTGAAAAACAGTAAATAAAAAAAAACAAAAAAAAAACCAGAAAAGGTTGCTATCCAATATCTCTGTATTTTGTCCTGACTCAGTTTTGACAGAAAGTTTCTGATGTGTCCTTCATTGAGTGCACTCAAACCCCATTGATGGCAAGGGGAGATTATGGCTATTGGTCCTATTGGTGACTAGACTGTAAATCTGGAACATACAATCAGCAGTTATCAACCCTGGTTTCACTGCTTTATAACATAACTTCTCATAATGGCCTTTAAAGCCCTTAGCTGTAAATTAGATATTATAATAAGCCCTTAGCATCCTTTACCATGCACTCACATGCACTCACATACACACATGCACACGTGGATTTGTGCAGAACCCAGTTGCTTAAAATGACTCTATGATCAGTCTGAGCTTTATAATGAATGAGCATTCCAAGTCTTTTTTCTCAATTTCATATTTATCATTTGAAATATTTTAATGTAATTCTGAAAAAAAATCCCCATCTACATGTGGAAATATTGTGGAAATATTTATTATCTTTTCTGTCTTACTTTTATTAGAATACCTTTCTGAAGTACATGCAGGGCCCTAAAAACCTAATGAAGCCCTTCCCTTTGGGATCTCCATCTACAGTCCCCATGAGTACTCACGGGACAGCATGGACACATCCCCTCTGAAGGTCAGGCGACTTCATGAAAGGGCACCTCAACAGGGATGTTCCTGTTTCTCTGCAAACAACTGCTCTGCAATTTACAGGCCATTATATTTATCTTACATTTTGTGGGATGAAGGGGAGAAGAAGAATGGCATCTACCTCACACTCTCCTCCACCATTACCCATACTTAGTCCTATACATGACATCTTCACAGCCGCTCTTCTCTCTGCTTCATGACCCACCCCTGAAGCTTGCCCTCCCCTCTGCTGACCCCAGACCAGAGCAGAAAGGACTCCTGCCGTAGTGAAGGCAAGAACTTACGCACCCCCCACATCTTTGCTAGCTTGTGGTTCCTCCATACAGTAGACCTGGAAGCAGTCGATGGTGTCCCCATCATTCACAGCCCAGTATATGGCAATGGAGGTGCTGGTGGCCGAGTTCGGTTCCTGAGGTACGACAGTTGGTATCTGTGGGACTGAGAGGAAAGTCTCCCGTTGCTATTCACACTCCTGTATTTTCAGCCAAATCACCTACAGGTTTGTGATGCAACCTGCTTGCTTATTTTCACTCAGGTTGCTTATTTCCACAGGACAAGTACAGCAAGTACATTAAATAGGGAATACTGGTGCAGTTTAGAGCAATAGGTTCTCCTAAGCTAGGAACAGAAAAAAAAAAAGTAATTGCTCAGCATTGGAATCTGTCTACTTCCCTCACAGTCTAGACAAAATAAGATCCTGTCCTAGTGCTGGCACCATCTGAACCCAGGACAAAGCATGTGCCCATTACCTGCCCTATTCTTGGGGGTCCTCCCCATGGGGCAGGACCACGGGGCATAGCACTGCCATTCATTTCCGATCTCCAGGTGGGAGGCTCCCAGGGCTGTGGCAATCCTGGACACATAGAGCTGTCACACAGCTCCAGTGATGCCTCTCCTTTGCCCAAGAGATCTGCTTCCTTCAGTCACAGGGAGAAATACCTGTCCCTGGACTCCGCTTTGAGGTACACATGCTGATGAAACCCCGAGAGACTCCTAATAACTTCAGGCCGCCTCCTCAGAAAGGCCAGAAGACCCTGGAGCCTAATGCAGGCTCCTTTGGGTGACTGCATTCTCCATTATCTGACCTTGACTTGCAACACAGGCACCAGAGGAGAGGACAGCCTATGAAAAGGATGCTCATGAAAGTGGAGACGCACTTTTTTGTACCAAACAGATAGATCACTGATGGAGAGAGGGAGCTTGCAGAAGAAGAAAGCCTCCTCCAGAAACAGACATGTGTAGCTGATTCTAGAAAGGTGGGCAGGGGAAAGGATTCATGCAGTGTGTTAAATCCACTGACATTGACCGCAGCAAGGATGTCCTTTAGGCAAAGGAAGGCTCTAACAGCACTGAGGAGTAGAAGATCCAGAGGTGGACTCCTACTGCAGGTGCACAGCTAGGTGCTCCTGCCTGGCATGATCATTTTCCCCACTGATCCAGTGGACAGAGGATCCTCGGTGCGCAGATGAACCTGAGCTCTGTCAAAGCACCCCGTGGGGCAACCAGGAGGACCCCTCACAAAGAGTGTTTCAGAGACCTTCCAGGCTCCCAAATTCCATGTAAACTTTGTCTCCTGATTGGCACAGATCCATCCCTGATGAGATATTGTCCCTCTCTACGATTATGGCTTAAAAGAGAGAGAGGGGAAAGAAAGAAGAAAAAAAACCCAAAAGACGTTCATTGTTAAAGTGGTTGCAGGAAACGAAAATACATGGTTCTATTTCTTCACCCAGTAAATTTCCATGTTGCATGAATTCTCTTAGAATCTCAGCAGAAAGCTTTTGATTTCTTTCAGTTATCTTCACAGTAATGATGATGATCCCCTGTGGCATGAACAAGGCAAATGCAGATGCTGGCTGTTTCCTTATACAGAGAGCTACCAGTACAGTAGGATTACACCTGCTCCCCATTGAAAAAAAATTATCCTTCTTATTGCTAAAAACAAGCTGTGTTTTGTCTTTTAATTACATCTAGAGTTGGTAAATTTAAAAACTGACCATCTTTAGGAAAACTATTCCAGTGGACCTGGTGGGGAAACCAGCTTTGTTTTTTTTTCCCTGTGATGTTGCCTAGAAACAACTATTTATGATCACAGAAACCCCACAACTGCAAGATTTATTATTATGCCAGATCTGAACAGGAGCTAGCTTAATGAATGAAACTTCTCAAAGAAAAAAAAAAAGGTACAGATCAAAATTCAGTTCTGTAACATTGAGAAACATTTGATTTCTAATTTTCTTTTGCATAATATGAAACAAACTTTTGAAAGGAAGTTATTTCAAAGCAAGAAGTTGAATTATTCTTTCAGAAACAGACCATTTATGTTTTATCAAAGTGCTGGTCCCTTTTAAAATTATTTTTAGTCAAAGAAATATTTGCACTTTGACTAAAGTTTGACTAAATCATATTTTTCAACAGAAAACTGTGACGTTTTCTCATCAGCTCAGTTTTCAATGAAGTGCTGTGGTGTCAGGAAGTTTTTTCATTCATGGTACCTAATCTCCACAAATAACCATCCCAGATGTTTTATGGATATTTACCCCTTTCCAATGTAATGAAAACGTTTCCTTGGCTTTGTGGACTTGAAGAAGGAGAGCAGTTACATTACTCTGTGACTAATGGAAGATTTTTACAATCAGGAAAGGTCCTTGCCTTCTAGTACAGAAGGGCAGGCTTTGGAAATAATAATTTTTTGATCTCTAAATTATTCCTACTCTTCTTGTAGCAAAGCCTGGGTTCCAATATGCTCAATGGCATGCTGCAAGGGTTTTATATGTTTATGCAGTTGTTGATGGAGTTGACTTACATGAAAGGAGGAAGAATTTGAGGGGAAAGGGCTTTTCATTAGTGGATATGGAAAATTTGGAAATGGAGAACATTTGGAAGGAGAAATGTTTCTGAAATGGTGAAAATAAAGTTCAGTGAAATTGTTCAGTAAAAGAGTATTTTCTGAAGGAAAAATATGTGGATTGGAGAAATACAGCAAATTGACATGTATTTAATCAAATGGCTTCAGCCAAAAAAAATTCCGAGTGTGTTTGAGATTTGCCTCCAGTATGTGATAAAGTCTGTATTCAAGGGACTCAATTCCAAATAAAGTTTCATATAGGCATTTACCTCTCTTTTCATTCAGGAAGGGTGTAGTCTTAAAAAATACAGATATATATATATATATCTTGTATACTGCTCACCAAAGGAAAATCACAAGAACAACTGAAATACTTATTAGAGGAAGTGGAGAATGAAAACCAGGTATTGGAGAAAAAGAAAGAGAAGAAATTATACAGGATGAGGGGCTCTTAAGGTCACTTGCTAGTGGACTGTCATTCATTTCTAGTTTGTCAAAGCAAACTGGTCTGGAGCCATTTGGTGTTGAGCAAACACAGAAGCTAATGCAAATCACACTGAAAAGCAGATTTCAGCAATTTAGAGAAAAGCATGTTGGAGTTTGAATGCCACAGGCAAACTCATACAACTCTGACAAGGAAGTCAAGGTCTCGGAGATATTGAGTTCCTCTAGGTCTAAAAAAAGTAGTGGTATGGAGGAGAGAGATGATCTCCCCATAGTGATGCTGCTGAGTTCACTCAGCTCTTACTAGACATGAGACAGTCTGCGCAAGACGGCACACCTCCTATGTCCCATTGGGCACCTGAAAATCCAGTCAGGAAGCAAAGGACCTTAGGGAAATCGATGCTCTAGTTTGAGTGCTCTGGGACCAAATATGAGCAAGAGGCACTGCTTGAAAAGCCAAAGAGCGACTACAATGGCAGTGGTACATGTGATAGTGAATGGGAGGTCACAAAGCACAACAGTGAGATGCAAGACCCCTAAACAAACCTTCTCCTGAGAAAGAAACACTGGAGTGAGACCTCATTATGAGGAGAATGAATCCACAAATTGGTGCTGACAAACTCTTCACTGACAACAGTTCAGATTCAGGCAATTTCTATAGGTATATGTACAGGCAGAGCAGAAAGCCCACAAAGGCAGGCTTTTTACAGGACATGAAATATCATATAGAGATGAAGAAATATGTGCAATTTTCACTGCTGCCCTCCAAAGCAGAGGCTGCTTCCAGCTACAGTGAACCACTTCCCTTTCACATTCTGTGGGGCCTTCAGGTGCCTCCATTCACTTGGCACAAACCCAGGGACCTCAGCTATCATCCAGACCCCTGCTCTCATCCCCACACTAGTAATGCTGGGGCTGCCCCTCTTCAGAGAAAGAGAGCTTAGGAGACCCTTTGATTGTGTCTTCTGTCCTTGCCTGCAAGGGAACAGCGACTTCTTTAGCACTGGGAGAGTCACAGATAGAGACCTTCTGCCAGTCTGAGATACAGATATCTGATACTATGCAAGAATCTCCCACTTCAGCATTTTCCCCTGTGTTGCTCATCTTAGTGTCCTACTATAAGCCAAACACTTGTGCACAATTAGACTTAATTTTACATTCAAATCTGATTGCTAATTACATGGTTTGCAAACTTATACTTCTCAAATAGATTCCATTTTTAGCTTCCTAAAATTTCCAAAGCATTGCCAAAATGTTCACTTTGTAAAGACAATATTCAGAGATTCTTACCAGCCACATGTTTTAAGGAGTGCTCGTTGCTTTGTCCTGGACTGTCCATGTAGTGCTCGAACAGTGAAAAGGCACTGGGCAACTTTTCTAAAGAGAGGGTACTATCCATTGCAGAAAGTAACCTATTTGGAAGAAAACATATAGCATCCCTTGTTGTGTGCATAGTTTTCCAAAAGCCAGAAGCAAAGACATACTCTTCTTTAAATATTTTCCATGAACTTGAGAACAACATGCAAGAAGAAGCTGCTTTGCTGATTTTGAATATTTGAACATATAATTTTGGATCAGGAGCACAGTGAACATGCACACCATCTGTGTACGCTTGACCCATGAGAACATGAGGATTTGAAGTTCACAGCAAGACTCTCAAGAGCACAGGGATTGGGACTTAACCAATGCAGTGCCTTTAAAGGTTACAAATCTTACAGCTAAACTACAGCAGCTGACTCCAGAGATGTAATGTAAAGCAGCTGCTTGGGGCAAGCAAAAAAAACATGACGAGGAAGATACATTCCACTTAATTAGCCCATATTTGCTGAGTTCATTATAAAAAAACAACCAACCAACATATTTTTAACTCTGAGGCAGAAGCAGCTTCAAGGAAATGAAAGATTATTTTTTTCAAGGCAACTGAATTTTACCTTTCTTCCTTTCTCTTTTCCAGTCACATTAGTAGTTAATTATGTATGATAACAAAGCACAAAAAATACAAAATATACTTTCTTTAGGAAAGCATGCATTGTTATATAGACTTATTCATAACCTTTTTTAGCAAGTCATGTATTATCAAAGTAAAGTAATAACCAAATCCATGCACAAAACAGAATAAACTTTTAGTGTGTAAGTAAACTAATAATGACAAAGAATACAGAAAGCCTTGGAAAACTGGTTTTGTCCCATTATACCTGCTTTATACTTATGCAATAAACTACATGCAGGTATGTGGCCAGACTCTCACATTTTTACTTATAACAGGTGAGTCCAAATTTATAGTCCTAATTCTGCAGATTAATAGGAACAATGAAGGCGTGTTTGGCACCTTCTTGTCTTCCTGGGGTTTTAATTTGAAAACTGGAACCCTCGTGTCACTGTTATACCCCAGTCTGTGTCAGCATGCATATGGCTGTGATGGTCGAGGCAGCACTGACAAGGGTATGTTTGACACGCACTGCACAACACCCAAGCCCTTTGGGCAAAGTTAGTGGTGGTGATGAGGGCAAAACAGGTTTGGGGGCTTGCGTAAGACAGCAGCCAGCTGTCTGAATAACTGCAGTTCACCTTGGCAAATCTGTTGGGAGAACAGGGATTTATAATTAAACACTTCTCTCATAAAGGATAGGTATCACCAAAATTACTTCCTTGAGGAAATCACAAGTGGCAGAGAACTGTTTGTAATTGCATGTATTCATTGGTATGTGGAGGCAGGCCAGGACGCAACCGTGATGAGGAACCAGCCCTCTGACACGTCCCGAGTCAGGCAGTGCTGATGAAGAGGCATGGGAAAACAGCAGCACTTAGTTTCCTGGTAATAAGGTACTTAATATCTTTTTTTTCCCCTGAAATTCAGAAATGTAGTCCAACAACCCCAGCCGTGTGAGTGACACATTGTATTATAAACTTCCAGAGACCATGTAATACAGAATAAAGCTAGTGAAAAAAGAACGTAGCAGTGATGTCTAAGAGATGGAAGCATGGTCAAAATATTTTTTAGCATATGTATGTATAATAATAACTACAAGAAACATCTGTTTAAAAATGTCTGCACAAAGATTTAAAATTGAGCTGACATTTTAAAATGCTACTTATTTAACTGATGTATTATGGAACACGTGCAAAACACATCAAAACCAGCCAGTTACAGTAAAAAGTATAAAACCTCTTCTCTTAGTTTCATTATTTGCAAGGATTATAAAAGTGGGTATGACTATTAGCAGTATGTTTTCAAAGCTTGCAAATACTAAATGAAGCATTCAGCATGCTAAGCCTAGTGCTCAATATGGTGCACTTAACCCACACTTCATATACCTTTTATTCAATTCTTTAGATGACTAGAGGAGGAAAAAAAGAAATGTATTAATAGTTTTCAAGCCCCTGAAAATGTTGAAAAGCCACTCCTCTAACAACCTTGCTACTTTCCACAGACAAAAAATACAAATGGCTTTATTGACTTGATGTTGTCTGGAGTGCTGCTCACTCACACCACCAGAGAATTTGGTTCCTTAAGAATATTCCACTTCAAAGCTCAGGCTCAGCAGGCTATTAGAGTCTAAATCTGGTTTTAATCTCCTGATGGGTCAGTATTCAATATCCAGGTTTAAAGATCAGAGCACAGTCAAACACTTTTTTAAACCAAGGCTTTTACAGAAAGAAATCACCTTAAAGAACACATGAATCCAAATTTTGGCTGAAATCTCCTTCATAACCTCCTTTTACTAGAAGCTGGGTGACATTTGTAGTCATGGAGTGAGAGTTTCTCCTGTGCTCCATAAAACTTCAGCTAATATTTCCTGGCTCGTGGACAGAAAGTTCCTGTCCTCTATCACTAGCAGAAAGTGGCAGGGAGTCTAGCAATTTTCCCATTCCACAAAAGAATTTAAGATTATGATGTTATCTTTTTGCCAAACCATTGATCCAATACCTCACAAGGTTTGGGAAAATAAGATGTATCTTTCAGCCATCCTATAATAGCCAATCTACCACAGCATTCATTTGGCTACAGCATACTAGACTATTTCGTAGCTTAGAGCAGGAGCCAAATACTGCTCAACCATTTCTACAGCTGCTGATATATGGCCTGATAGCTTGTACTGGGAAAGCTGTTTTATTTAGCATGAATGACCAGTCTTTAGACAATAAGAACTTTTCATTTCTTCTATCCCAGGATAGTTACCCTGCAACTTCCAGACGAAATGCTAATTCCATAATGAGAGAAGATTGTTGTCCCAGAAATTCCACCCCCTTAAAGACTGCTGATGCACCTCTGCAGAGGAGGGAGTGCCACGGCTCACTTATGGACAGGTCTTGCAGCACAAGAACCATCTTGGAGGACTCAGGCCGTTAACCTGCAAGACCCTCTGATACCAGCTTATCACTGACGACTGTATAAGCTAGGTAACTCCAGTCACACAGATTCACAAGGGATGTTTTTCACATCCAGAAAGGATCATTATGGACATGTACCTCACGTCCACTTTCCCAAACCTAGCCCATTGTTGTGGTTTAACTCTAGCAGGCAACTAAGTACCACACAGCCGCTCACTGTTTTTCAGCAGTAAACATTTCACAGAATCACAGAATCACAGAA